CAGCCACAGGGCAGAGCTGGGGCGTCACATCCACTTCATCGGCTTTTCTCAGGCTGGTTTGGCTCAGCGGTTAGAGTGTCGGCCCACAGACCAAAGAGTCTCGGGTTCAATTCCAGTCAAGGGCACATACCTCAGTTGCGGTTCGGTCCCCAGCCCTGGTCGGGGTCCTGTGGGAGGCAATCAGTGGATGTGTCTCTCTCATATCAATATATTTTTTTTCTCTCTCTCAAATCAATAAACAAAAATTTTTTAAAAGGGGGGAGGTTTCATGGAAAGAAGTCTCCTTCTTCTTAGGTAGTTTATAAATCATGAGAGGGGTAAAGCCTAGAAATAGGGGGATCGGGAGGGTGTTTCAGTGAAAAGGCACAAAAAGGAAACTTGTTCCCCAAAGCACTAAGGAGGATCTTAACGCTCAAGTAATTCTCTGTGGTCGCATGAGAGGCCTGTGCAGCACACAGGTTGGTTTAATCTTGAGATCATTACGAACAGAGAAAATGCCCTGGACCAAAATAAGGGGTCCAGTTTCAAGAATCTCCTTGGAAATCTGGGAGAGGGAGGAGCCTGCTCTGGAGGGGTGATGTCGTCGCCTGGAGGAATCTGAGCTCGCTGCTCTCTCGTAACTCAACAGGGTCTTGCATGGGAATTCCTCCTCTCGGGGATTAGTGGCCAATGAGTCTACTTTGTAGGTGCTAGTGTTTGGCTAAGGGGAGAAAGAAAAAATGAAATCGCCTTGTGAATGGGAGTTATGTGAAAGAATGTACCACGGCGGTACTCCTATTAGAATCATATGGATGGGGCCTTAATAATCTGTTGATTTTTAAAATCTATTTTAATCTCTGCTCCCATTCCAGCTGAGGAAAGTGAAGCTCAGAAGGGAGAAGTCACAGAACCGGCTCTTCCGGAGCCAGGACGAGTTTCAGGGCTTTCCCGTCGGTATCGCCTGCCGCCCCACCCCCATCGACTTCCCAGCTGTGACAGGGTGGACAGGGACCACAGCCTTCCCCACCTGGATGTCACCCGAGTCACTGCCAGGGACCCAGGGACACTTGTTCACGTTAGACGAGCGTCCAGACCGCACCGACGCTGAGGGGGAGCCGGTCCTGGTGGAAAGGGTTTCTGTGCTGCTGTCACTGTGCAGAAAGACGCTGGGCGCAACCGGCGAAACCGGTTCTGGTGGAAGAACTCGGTGGCGGTCCTGCCAGAATCAGCTGCAACTGATACTAGAGATCAGGAATTCGTTCCCAAACCTCATCTTCGCGAATCGTTTTAACACCTTCCCAGACCAAACGTTTTCCTACAATTAAACTAAACGAGTAGGATTTCACATCCTTTCCTCTCTCCTGTTTATGCTGAGCGGGAGGCAGAAGTACAAGGTAGGTCAGCAACCAAAGAAAAAAGTGGTAATGGCTCCGGAAAACTCTATCACCTTATCATTCGCTCTTGATTAGACTTAGGTAATAAGAAGACCAAATACCGAACTGTTGTTTTGTTGTTGTTATTGTTTGTTTGTTTTTAATAAATGCACCCAAACTGAAATATCCACCAAATAAAAACTACCCTTTAACAGAGTCACCTTGGGAAGATACATGGTTTTCTCCAGGGCTGCTGCTCGAAGTTTATTTGTAGTCTCTTCTGACACTACCTCCTTCAAAGCTGGTCTTGTAGAAAAGAAATCTCAGTTTTCTAATTAAATGTATTGGGGTCATATTGGTTAATAGGATCGTATAGGTTTCAAGTGTATAAAGAAATCTAATTTTTAACCCTAACGTGGTCTTGTCCAACTTGTTGATGGGTATTTACATTTGGACCCAAGTGATTTCTGGTGTTTTTTGAAACATCTTCAAAGACCAAGATTTGCCACCGTATGGGCATTCACAAGTGTCGCGGCTGCTCTCTCTAACCCTGGCCTGCTGGCTAAGGCCTGGCCAAAGGGGAGGCTGCGGGTCCTGTTCACTCAGCCTCCACTGCCACCACCTTCCCCACCACTGCAAACCAGTGAAGACGTAAGGACGTAAACTGCTTATTCAACGGGCTGAGGGGCCACGGTTGGGGTGTGGAAACTCAAATGTCCACCAGGGCAGCTCAGAGAACGCTGCAGAATGGAGAAGGCTAGAGAAAGCAGGAAGGAGCATAGGCAGTACCTCACAAGAACGACTCATGGCCTTGCAGACACTTGGGCTTATGGTTGCCATATTCTGTACCCCAAAGAATCTAGAAACCTAGATTAAAGTAATAATCTCCTCATGATTAAATGTGGACCAAAAAATTAAAAATTTGAGAAAAAGTACATAAATGCATGACACATGTACACATTCTGTGGAACACATGATGGCTGCAGATCACAAATTTGTGTCCTCTGGTCCCATAACCCAAAATATCACGTGACACTGGATGCAACCCCAGCTCTGAAGCCTACAGAAGATTTCTGGGTAGATGTCACCAACAGGAAGCAAATTCATCTGCTCCTCAGAGGTCCATAATACGAAAATCACAAACGATTCTATGGTGAGGGACACCTTTGACTTCTTGCTTTGTTAAAAACCTTTTTCTCAACCACGCTTTGTTTTTCACAGTCTGCTTATTACAAAATCGGTAGCATTTTATTTTTTAAAGATTTTTTTATTGATTTTTTGTGAGAGCGAAACATCAATTGTCCGCCTCCTATACAACCCCTGACCAGGATGGAGCCTGCAACCTGGGCATGTTCCTTGATGGGGAATCGAACCCAGAAACCTTTAGGTGCTTAGGACGACACCCATTCAACTGAGCCACACTGGCCAGGGCTACAATCAGTAATATTTTAAAGAAATATCTTAGGTTCTGTGAGTTGAAGAAAAAAACCTGGTTTCACTAATGAAATGGACTTAACTTTTACAGTTTTCTTTAAAAGCCTTTCTAATAGTTTGGGGGAAATTATTTGAAACAATTTTGTGTTACTTATTGGTTAATCCAGACTGCATACAATTGCAACAATCAAGTAATAGTAACTAAAAACATGTATTAAAGAAACGAGCTAATTTTTCTATGTGAGCTTAAATTTGTCATCTGGAACAACACACATGCACAAACACGGTTAAACAAGGTAAGTGGAATTCTGCCTTTGGGTAAGGAATGGCATTGTCTTCACTAGGCTGAAAGAAAAGTCAACTCAACCCAAATTTACTACCTCCCTGTTGCACCTCACAGCTTCCATCATTCAAGCTGCCCCTTCCACTTTGGCATTTTCTTTAAAAGGCCCCCTATTGGCACATAACGTTAAGGCATTCACCCGCCAGCACTCATTATCAGAGATTGCATGATAATGACAATTAGGGCCGCGATTACAGCTCACATGCATAGCTTGTTTACATTGACAAGGCACTGCCAAGGATAGGCTCCTACTGTCTCTCTGGGGACTGTGGAGGGCCTGCCCTCCCTTCTCACACTTGCTGTGTGGTTATTGGTTTCCCCTCCCTCCGCAAGAGCCCTGGATCTTCACACATCACATCTTCAACACCATACTCGCTTCGCTTCGGTAAGGCAGGGTTCTTTGGAAAAGTTTGTTTTGTTTTATTTTATTTTGAGTAAGGGAACTGAATGAGTCCCAGAGAGGCAAGATGACTTGCTAAGGATTCTAACCCCAGCCCCACTGACGACATTTTTGATCTAGCCCAGTAACCTAGCCTTTGAGAGGAAGAGGCATGGAGGGAAAGCCTGGGGCTTGGGCAAGGAACTTTAAATGGAGGTGAAGTGGCCCCTAGAAGACAAACTTCCCCACAGTTCTGTGTGGGACCTGACCTCTCACCTATTGCAAGACCTGCTTCCTTGCATCGGGCGCTGAGCCACGGGAACATTCTCGGGGCTGCTCAGGCACCCTGTTGCTGCTTGCCCGTTTAAGTCACCTTTCTTGGGCCTACAGCCAATTTCATTTACATTGTTTTATACATGAGTGAAATGAGACACTGAGCAATTCATCTTCTTCTATAAGTCCTGCCCACAAACTTCAATCCAGTTTCCTTTCTCACCCAGCCTTCCCCAGCTTGCAGACAATAACGCATTGAAGGGAGTTGTTTACACTGACCTTTTCATTAGTTTGAAGACGAAGTTTTGTAACGCCCTCCTACATGGTACATAGCTGAAGTACAAAACAAACTTAGGTTTCATCTGGAAACTTCTCTTTAGCGAAAAATAAGGATCAAGAATCAGAAGCTATACAACACAGAAGGGGGAAAAAGAGAACAAAAGAGTGCAGAGCAGAGAAAGTTTAGAGTTTTCATAAACTCAGAGAAACTCATGGCTGGAAAGCAAATCAAGTACCAGCGAGTGTCACGTTTATACCCGGGCAACGGCAGCCGTCTATCCTCAGGGCACACCTTGCTGGAGATTTTACTGTTGCCCTTTTTAACCATAATGGCACCAGAAAGAGAGAAAAAGCTGAAGCAGTTAACAAGAAAAAAAACAAAAGTGGCTCAAGGTCACAGCAGCGGGTACACCTCAGGGAGGAAGTTCGGAGACCTGCAGCCCTGCCTCCTGCCCCCTCCATCACCAGGTTAAACCGGAAGGAATCCTGAGTTCAGGAGACATTCCCAGTCACCTACCTATGAAAACATTAGTTCTGAACACCTTCCTCCTCTGAAGGAGGCTGCAGTTAGTGGGGCTTTGGGAAAATCTGCAGTGCAGGGAGACAGGATTCCATGCCCGCTCTATGCCAGACCCAAGGGCTAAAACAGAGCCTGGGGGCTTGGGAGGGACATGGTCTTGGAGCATTCTGCGGGGGCCGCAGAGGAACAGGTACTCATCCTCTTCTCCTTTACCCTCCCCACCCCCAAAGCAAGCTAGCTGCACAGAACTGAACGTGTGTGAGTTCTAGAGAAAGATAATAGATTCATTTCCTTTTGTTCTGGCTCAAGTTAACAGATCTTTTCCCACCTATAAAAACTGTTATAAAAAAAAACACCTGCAGAGAAAGGACGTGTTACTTGAAAGTTCTGACCAATGAATCATCGCCACTTTTCACTCACCTTTGCCTCCTCATTCACGTCCCAGGTGAAGGAAACGGCATTATACGCAATCTCTTCAATGTTTCCGATCGTATTAAAGCTCTCCTTGTAATCTGCTGTAATATTAAAAAAGACAATGGTTTTAAGAACAAGAGTTACTAGGTGACATGTATAGAACTGTTATTTTTCCAGTGGGGAAACAGAAACTTTGTTTCTTCTTCTAGCTGTTTTTATGGCAACACACGAGGACTTAACACTTGCTGATATTTTTTCACTAATATTTGTAAGATTTTAAATATGTTCTTCTATTGAAAGACTAAGTCCAGGTGAAGCAATGTTCCTAACTGATTTGTTCATTCGTTTCATTTTTTTACTAGGTTTCTAAAATGATGCTTTTTCTCCCGAGTCCCTTGTCACCTACCTGTTCCTTCCACTCAGTTTGCTGGAAGCGCAGAGTATTCATAGAGATTGTTTTGTAGAACAAAATAGTCTGTTTATCAGCCAGCCACTGTCCTCAGGAAGAAAATTCCAGGAGAGTGCTGGAAATTTTTTTTTTACTTCTTTGGGACTTGGGTATGGAAAGTTGAGGCAATCATACTCAGCTCACTATCACCAACTGTCCGTTCAGGGCCCTCTATTCTTTTATTTATGTAGCATTATTTATTGCTTCTTATCCCCATTATCCATCCCCACACAATAGCTATTGATGTTTGCTACATATTCTTTTCTTTTTATATTTTATTTTAATTTTTATTGATTTTTTTAGAGAGAGAGGAAGGGAGAAAAAAAATCACTGTGAGAAAAACATCGATCAGTTGTCTCCCGCACGTGTCCCAAACGGGGTGCAACCAGGCTTGTGCCCTGAACAGGAATGGAACCCACCACCCTTTGGAGTATGGGACAACCTCCAACCAATCAAGCCACACTGCCAGGTCACATTCTTATAAGTTGTGTTGATTGGCCTGCGTACATAGCTTTCATTTTCACATGTTGTGCTATGGGTAGGGTTGCCAGATTTAGCAAGTATTTGGGATACCTATATCCTAAAAAAGTATGTTTTTTTTTTAATCAAAAATTCAAATTTAACTGGGCACTGTGTTTTATCTGGCAAGCCTAGCTCTGGACATTTTCAAATCTAACTACACACCTATATCTAACTGTAGCTACATAGAATTTCATGGGGACCATCCATCATAGTTTTTGTAAATTGATCTTTATTGTTGAAAATATTACAGATACACAGACTCAGTTGGTCTTTGGGTCTGGACATGATATTCCTAGTTTCGATGCTCACTGCTTCCCGAGGTTGCTAGCTTATGTTTATCCTCTGGGTTTTTTTACCTCTACTCTTGGCCTCCTCAGACATGACATCCTACCTTAACTCTGTCCCTTGTGTACTAACTAAACATTGGTCATGTCCTGCTTGGTTGGCATCATGGTAAAACCCATCTGCTTTTCTTTGAGGCCTGGTTTATTCACAAACTGATCACCTAATCACATATGTTCTTCCTCTCTAAGCCGTCATAATTACCTTTCTAAAAGGAAACTGTGATCATGTACTTTTTATAATTTTTCATAAGGCTAAATCTTTCCCCATGACCTATCATGTCCTTCACAATTAGGCCCTCAACGCTACTTTGTGCATTCATAACCCACCCCGCAAAGACAGTCACAGGAAGCCTCGATTATAATGATATTGGAGGTCTGTTTATACAATCTTCTTAAAATTTCCCTTCTGAGTTAGGGTTAGAGTTAGTTACTATGACTGACTTCCAGGATGTATAAAGTCTTCATTGCCTACAAAACCTGCCATGTTTCTGGTCAAATGGTTTCTCATCTCGTGTTCTCTCAAGTTGTCATAACCATCCAGGGCTGGTGGCTTCTTAAGGCTGTAACAAGCTCCCTATGTTAATGCTTTAAAAGTCTGAAGTCTGCTTCCCTAAAGTTCATATATGTAATCATTTTTAGTCGTTTACTCATTTGTCACAAAATCTAAGTTGATGTTATCCTTTACCAAAATTCTCTTATCAATACAACTCATTTGGTTTGGTGATTTGGGTTGAGAGTTGTATTTTTATATGCTTTTTCTGTCCATAATGCAAATAATAATAAAACAAAGCCCATAACACTAACAAGTTGAAAAGAATCCATACTAGAACAAAGGCAGTTTCATTTTGTTTTTCAATAGAACTATTACTGGACCCTGACGGATGGTTAATCACAGGAAAACCTACTTGGATGCTCTCCAGAACGGCCCTCCAGACTCCCTCTCTAGAATGGTCACATCAGTCTAGATTCCAACAAGAATTCTATTTCCCCTATTTCTCACCACATTTCTACTTTTGGGGCCAATCCCATGTACAAAGTGGTATCTTAGAGATATTATATTTGTATTTCTTCTACCGGTTATGATTTCAAGCATCTCTTCACTACCAGGATGCCAACCAGTGTCTCCTTATAGAAACTGCCTGTTTGCCCAGCCAGTGTAGCTCAGTAGATGAGCATCGACCAAAAGGTCTCTGGTTCGATTCCCAGTCAGGGCACATGCCCAGGTTGAGGGCCAAATCCCCAATGGGGGGCATGCAGGAGGCGGCCAATTGATGTTTCTATGTTTCTATCTCTCCCTCCCTCTTCCTTCCTCTCTCTCTAAAATCAATAAAGAAAAAATTTTTTTTTAATCTTCTTTAAAAAATAAATAAATAAAATAAAAACGAAAAACTGCCTATTCATGCCATCTGTCCATGTTTCTATTGGTCTCCCAAGGGAAACTGTGAAGCATAACGATATATCTTTACATTTTAAATAAAACAAACACACTTTACTATAAAGTCTTACGTGTTCCCCATAAGAAAGTCAGAGACCATGAACTAATGAGAAAAATACTGAAAAGCAGCCATAATCTACTCACCCACAACCACTAAAAACACGTCCGTATAAACTTCACTTTTCCTATCTCAGTCTGTCTCCTTTTCTCCAAAATTTATAAATATTTTACACAATATTGTAACAATTATTTTTTAATTTGCTTCCCCCCTTAATACATCTTCAGTATTTTTTGATGTCAATGAACAAACTTGTGGAAAATACTTTTAATGGCCAAATACTATTATATTGGATTAAAATAAAGTGCCATATGTTTTACTCTTGTTGGTCACTTAGATGATGTCCAATACTTTACTACCTTAAATATCACTTAGTTATCTTCCTGGCTAAATATTCATATATACTTCATATTTCCATTAATATATATTTTCAGAAGTGAAATTTACAAGTCAAAAGCAAGAATATCTTTAAGGTTTTTCATTCGTTTTGTCAAGTTGTTCCTGGAAAGCTTGAAACAACTTATATTCATAGTAACAGTGTATGTGTTCCAGCTTCTCTCCCAATTGGTATGCAAAACATGCTGGCTTATTATTATATATTTTAATTAAAAATGGTTTTTCAAGTACAGTTTACATTCAGTATTATTTTGCCTTAGTTTCCGGTGTGCAGCATAGTGGTTAGACAGTCATGTGCTTTAGCTCACATTATTTTAATTGCAATTCCTTGATTGCTAAGGAGGTAGAACCGTCTTTCATTTGCTCTCTGGCTCTTGGTCTTTCTTTATATTCTTTCTCTTTGCCTTTATATTTATTCATTTGTCCAACAGCTACCTGTTCTGCCCTTTGCTCATTCTTCTATTAGGGCGTTCCAATTTTCTTATTGATTTTAAAGTAAATATTTAAAGCTAAGAGATAAAAAGAAAAGCCATTTTATATCTTACAAACATAGAGTAAGGGGTTGGGACTGTACTGGGGATGATTTGAAATGCAAACCCGTGCTCTCAGCAGGCCAGCCAATCTATTAAAATTCTGAAGACAGAAGCAGACCATGGAATTTACAGAAATTAAGTTCCCCAATTCTTCATAGCTACTTGTTTTAAAGGATAGTCATGTCACTTTGTTTTGAAGGGGTTTTTTGTTTGTTTGTTTGTTTGTTTTATCCTCACCTGAGGACATTTTTCCATTTTTTGTTCAGGTAGAGTGGGGGGGAGAGAGAGGAACAGAGAGAGAGAGAGAGAGAGAAACATTGACGTGAAAGGGACACATCGAGTGGCTGCCACCCGCACGACCAACCAAGGCCGGGGACAAACTGCAACCGAGGTACGTGCCCTTAGCGGGAACCGAACCCGGGTCTCTCGGGACGGCAGGCCAATGCTCTAACCGCTGAACCAAACTGGCCAGGGCTGTTTTGAAGTTTTTAATAAGCATTTTTTAAGAAAAGGTGTTCAGGCCAATAATAGATTTAAAAAACAAATGTTATATCCAGAAATAAAGACAAACCAAAATGGTTTGGTCAAGCATGTATCCTAGATCTCTTAAGTTGCTGCATTATAAGTTTTTATTTTTCCATAGCTTCTGCACCTGAAAATCTATTTGCCTTAAAAAATGTATTAGTTGGACATAAATATGACCAATAGACATATGAAAAGATGCTCAACATCAATAATCATCAGACAAATGCAAATTAAAATCACAATGAGATATCACCTCACACCTGCCAGAATGGCTATCATCAGTAAATCAACAAACAAGTGCTGGTGACGATGTGGAGAAAAGGGGACCCTCATGTACTGTTGGTGGGAATGTAGATTGGTGCAGCCACTGTGGAAAACAGTATGGAGGTACCTCAAAAAATTAATAATGGAACTGCCTTATGACCCAGTGATTCCACTTCTGGGAATATATCCAAAGAAACCCAAAACACTAATTCAAAAAAATATATACACCCCTATGTTTATTGCAGCATTGTTTACAATAGCCAAGATCTGGAAAGAGCCCGTGTATCCATCAGTAGATGAGTGGGTAAAAAAGCTGTGGTACATTTACACAATGGAATACAATGCAGCTGTAAAAAAAAAAAGAAAAAGAAAGAAGGAAATCTTAGCGTTTGTGACAACATGGATAAACCTGGAGAGTATTATGCTAAATGAAATAAACCAGTCAGAGAAGACAAGTGCCATATGATTTCACTTATATATGTAATCTAATGAATAAAATAAACTAACAAACAAAATAGAAACAGACCCATAGATTCAGAGAACAGACTGACAGCTATCAGAAGGGAGGGGAGGGGG